CTGCTGTTAGTTCTACCACCCACATAATCCCTATTATCATTTCCTAGCAAACACACTTCATTAGCTATAAAAAAATCTCACTTGTCTGTTCCAGCAGTTACCTGAAGTTATTGTGATATAAAGTAGTTAAAGGCCATGTCAATTGAAAAGTTACTTTACCTTTTTTGAAGGTCATAATAATTAAGTGTATTTTCATTTGATGAAAACCAGTAATTTGAAGAACCACTACCAAATTTATCCTGTACTACTAAATGCACTCTTCCTGTGAGCAAGCATTGAGCATTAGGATATTGCGGTGGTACAATTATTCTCCCTGTTCCCTACTTGTGTGTTCGTTTGTCCCAATTAACTGATGCTATAAACTTGAGAAAGCGATGTGCTGTCAGAGAGGAAGCGACTAAGGTTCTGCCTTTTTGCTGAAGCACAGGCTGACATTCCTGATTTGTATACAGGGTGGAGTTCTGCAGTCTTTTATTCCTCTGAGTGTTGACAGTGATGACAGTTCTTATGGGAGAGACAGTACTTTGATCATGTGTGTAGCTGGGTATGAGGAGGAAACTTCCATTAAATAATTGTAAGGGACACAATGACTTAGGAAAGCTGCATGAGTGAATGGGAAGCCAGAAATTCTGATTGTTCTGCCCCTTTTCTGACACACACACACAAAAAAAAAAGCTTCTGTGCTGTAATGCAAGTTATAAAGAAGCTTTCTCTGTAAATGGGATCAAGAGATGGATCCAAATAAATAAGAAACACACACACAAAACCAACCCCAAAACAAACCCTGAATGCTTGTTATTTTAGAGGGGAAGAAAGATACAAAATTATGAAAAATTGCCTGATCCAATTCACAAACAGTTGTATCAGCACAACTATGAGGAGCAAGGCACTGTGGTATAAGGGTGGAAACTTCACAAGCTGCTGTAGCTGCTAGAGTACCCATGCTGTTAAGCCACAACCAAAGACATCATAGTACCCTTAGCAGAATTTAATTAAAACTTCCAAATAATCCGTTCTTGTGGTGGTCAGTTCATTTTCAGTTAGGGGAGAGTAATTGTTCCCAAGTAGTTTGCCTGCAGCAGTGGAGCAGAGTACAGGAATTTCTTGTTTACAAGTTCTTCGTAAATTGCAAACTCAGGGTCACATGACTTTATATTCTTAAAGTTAAGAGAATATTAGCTGCTGAATGTCAGTTGCTAAAGGTTATGGAATTATAGTATGAAGAGTATGCTGTTCAAGCACTGTCTTGTCACTTCTTGTTTCTCCATTTACCAAATTGTTAACCAACATGTTTAATGCCTCAGGGAATCTCTGTCTTACTATTCTTTCCTTCCTAGTAGCTTTACAGATTTCCATGAATGAAACAATTGAGATTTCAAGTGTTGATTTCCTCAGTTAGTTTCATTTCAGCCATCTGGTGGTGATGTCACATATAATCACCTGTCTAACAAGCACCTGATAGTTTTCCTTCCTTGGGGACTAAAGTACAATACACATACAAGCTGCGTATCAGGCTGTATTTGTACTACAAACAGTGGTTTGCTATCATGATTCAGATAAACAGGAGACTAGTTCAGCTGATTTAGTTTAGAGCATTTCCTGCAACTTAACTCATCCTGCCAGTTAACATGAATACACATTTGGGTTTTTTTTCCAAGTTAGCCATTAAAGAGATTGAGTAGGCTGGGCCCTGTGACTAATGTTTCCTTGGCTCTGACTGTTTTGCTGCTTCCCTAGAGCATTCCATAATACTTTATTAGCATGCAGGGGATACTCTGAAATTCCCAATTGTAGGACACCACTTGAAAATGTTCTAGAAATCTCAGTGCTCCACAGTCTGAAATCCTGGCCATAAGTAAGATACAGCATGGAAAGGCAAGTACAGAAGTACTTATGCTGTAAAAAAGACCACATGCATTAGCATTGTCATTATTAATACAGCTCCCTACTCATATTCTGTACTGATTAAAAATAAAAGAAATAAAAAAAACCAAAACAAACAAACAAACAAAAAGGCAGTGCCACAGCAAAACTTGCTCAAGGTCGTGCTGCACTAATTGAATAAGGCTTTTCAACCACTACAGGACTTTGTTGTTCTACTAACATTGTGAAGGTAGTAAACAGTCAGGTTTCTGTCACTGCTGATGCCTTATCACAGACAACAAAAGAAAAACGGAGTTGCTGAACTATTTTACTATACAAAGTTTAAACGTAATCCTGTTTTAGAAATGTCATCAATGTAAAGAGGCAGCAGCTAAATGGAAACAACATGATGTGCCAATGAGCAGTAAGTATTTCCCCCACCAGTGTTTAACTATGAATCATGATGAATACTACCTCCATGGATTAAAGTGCTGATCTTAGTTATTTGCATAGAAAATAGGTTTTGTTCAGGAGCTGAAGCTTGTCTAGATAACACACTCACCTGGAACAGGAAAACCTTTCTATGTTAGCTTTAGAAATCACCTTACCTAAATTAGGAAAAAAAGGCACGTAAAAGCATTTACTTCAAGGGTACTCCTTTACAATGCTTCTCTACCTATGGCTAAACCCCAGATCCTACTGCTGCAAAGAAAACTGGTTACTCCTTTTACACATCACTATAAAGTAAAAAAATGGCAGTTATGATACCTTAGATAACTTTCTTCTGCTGTCTTTTATACTATATAATATGCTTCAGCAAAGAGGAGCAGAAAGTATATAAATAGTACTACAGCTGTTACACATCATCTTTGTGTTAATTTCTGCTTTTGAGTCAAGGCACTGAAAGTTAATTTCCTCCTTCAGTACCCTACTCAAGTGAAAAAAAACAAAACAAACAACAAAACAAGAAAACTATTTAAATAGAAGCACTAAATTTACTTCCCGTATTTGTTGAAAATATTTGTATGTTAATAATCACAAACAGGAAGGAACATTCAGCAACCTTCATTGAAATTTCTGACCTAGATGCAGTAGTGGAAGAAAAACCAGTTGCAGGTAGCATTATTTCAGTAAAAATTGCAGTTTTCATAACTCAAATATTGCTGCCCATATGTACTTTTTCTACCTGCTAGAAAATCAAGCAAGTCAAATACCAAGCAGCATTAAAAGTTGAAGCAGCTTAAGTTTACCTAAAAGTGCAGTTAACTCTGCTCCCAGGGCAGGTTAGCAGAAGCTCCACTTGCTTTTCAATTAACTTTTAGGAGATGAGACAGAATGTTCTTATAGCTCAGTCCCAGCGTGATAGGCTCTACCTAAGTTGAAACAAATCCTGCAGTGATTAATGTTTTTTCCCTAGCTTGTTTTCCCTCAGCTCTGTAATTGTAAATTGCTAAAGCAGGTCATTTGAAGTATGTGTAGTATCTTAGGAACCATAACTTAGTGATCATAAATTTGCATTATAAATGCAGGTATAGCTCCTTACCTGGCATAAATTTTCAATCTTAACTGCTTATTAACTACACCACAACTCTGACCCATCCTGTAATCACCACTGGCCTAGCATCTGTTCATTTGAAGCTCCATTTTATTCTAGATTTTATTTTCTGTTCCCTTCTTCCTGATGGTTTTAGTTATATGTAGAAAAAAACAAAAAAACTTTCTATTTCTCATTCATTCTTCTTTGGTGAGGACACACTGAAAAACCAATACAGAAATGATGAAAGTGATGAACCAGCTAACACATACCAAGGGAAGATGCAACTACAAGGAAAACTGTGGAAGAAATGCCAAGAATGCATAAAAGATCAATGTTGCCTATTCTTTTCAGACTGAGTAACGCTACACCCACCTTTTTTAAAAAAACTTTCAGATAAATGACTGGCATTTTACTCCTAGTAGGTACAGCTATTAAGCAGAGGTATACATTTTGAAGAAATTAATCAGCTGGTAAGGATATCAAGCTCCTAAGTATTCAAGTACCAAATATTTAAGTTACTGCCAGATACCACAGTCAGAGAGATTGAAAGGCAAAACTTTAATCAAGCTGAAAGATTTAAGATGTTTCAGTGAAGTAGTTAGAAAGATGTACGTAAGCATTAAGTCATTAAAATGACTTAAATCTCTTAATCTTCTCAAAAGCAGATTAAGCTAAATTTAAACAGAACATGATATGAAGTCCAGTTTTGATTTTATACACTGTGTGTCCTTGGTACAGAATTCAGTATGTGCCATTTTAAAAACTGATTTTTGTAGGATAGTATAAGTTCATAGAGTCTCCAAAATATGATACTAGCTATGGAGTTACTTTAACAGCTATCGGCAAAATGCCGTAATGACCCACCCTATTAATATATATATTACTTCTGAATTTTCAGGAAAAAAGAAAACCTTTTCCAGCCAAAGTTTGTTTATGCTCATGTTAACTGCTGCCACACTGCATGATTTCATCATTCCTTTTTAATTCTGATCATTTCATAAGCTTAAATGGCAGATGAGGGCACATGTAACATAAATTTTCTCCTTCCATATGGGCACATTATTACTTACTCCATTGCAAAATTTGTGGTTAATGGAAGGGCCTTTCAGAGTAATTCCTTACCTCTAACTGAATATGAAAGACAAGAAATGACAGTTGCCAATAATGTACTTTTTAAAAACCTTTGTAAACATTTTGCATTGTGTTTTAGTAACAATACAGTTTTTACTTTTAAACCTTACAGAACTAAGAACTCCTAAAAAACTACGCGGTTTTAAAAAAGAACTTTTTTTTTTACTGTTAATTATTGCACCACAAGTTGACAAAAAGCTGAGAATTAAGTCCTCACACTTGGCATACCATTTACATTTTAAAAGTAAATGCAGTAAGTAAATTTCAAAAGTCCTAGCCAAAAAAAAAGATACCATTAGGAAAACAAAAAGAATGCTTGAAATGTCATCTAATTCTATCAAAAAGTTTAGTGATATAAATTTGGTCTATTTCAAAGCACTACTGAAAAAGTTTAACATGGAACTTGGAAGAACTGTAGAAAACAAAAAATGCTTACTCTAAAAATGAGGTTAACAATACACTCCAAGACACTTTGTCCAACATGTTTAATTCCTTGTTGCTCAATGGATTTTTTTCTGTCTCTGATTACAGCAGATGGATCAGGGACAGTTTTAGAATTAACTTCCCTATGGTTGTAACTTGCTTCATTTACAGTAAAGATAATGAACCAACAAATCCATACTCCCAAGAAGAGAAGAGGTCTTTAATGATGGCCAGCACCAGAGGATTCTGAAACAAAAGACACGATTTAGACTGTTCAAACAGTAGAGCAAATCAACTCAAGAACACAGTTCAGAACCTAGAAAACTAACATCTGAGCATATGAACTGGCAGGTTCTTGTCAAATTGCAGATTCTGTATCAAATAAAACCCTCAAACTACATATATAAACTTGGTCAATACTAAAAATCCTCCTTTGCAAGCTTTAAAGCACTATTAATAGGCAGTAAAGGGTTCCTTCTAAACTGAGGTTTATTTATGCTATTATCCTTAACCCAACTGGGCAGTATTTTCACTAATTGCACATTTAAAAACAAAAATAATGTTTGCATACACAAATTCAACTGGAAGCAAATGGGCTATCTATCATGGCTCAGAATGTTAACTGAGATACAGCAGTTCATGGAAAACTGAATTCCAGTGTGATGTCAGAAGAAACTGTCCATAAACATCTAAACACTACATTACAGAAAACATTAAAATACACATTCAAAATTACAGGTTTACACTTCTTAGTTTCTTGACAGCTAAAGCAGCAGTTACTCGTGAGATTGTGCTGATTTAAGCCATCCCACTAAATGTTTTAATGTTTTTTACTATTATTTTAAATAATTCCTCCCCCCCCCCCCCCCCCCCCCCCAAGTCATTCTACCCCTAAAACTTATGCAAAGGACAGTTTAAGACAAGACATAGCATCTGTGCAAGCTCAAAGATGTTTCTAGGTTATAAAACCACCAATACAACTAAAGCTACGTATTTTGAAGTAATCTCTAAATATTTTCTAAATCCATAAGTTAAACAACAAACAAAATATGCTAAGTTAATTCTTACTGCACTCATTTAAAAAAATTGAACAGGGTATTAGATATTTAATACTCACTATCTGCCACTGCTTTTTTTCCTGGAAAAAAAAAAAAAAAAGCTGAACAATGAAAGTTTAAAATTTTTTTTTTCAGATAAACTTAATTATACTACTTATGATTTGCTAATTTAGCTTGAACAAGCTCTAACAAGTGTACAACATGTATTTTCCATGATACATTTCACTTTAAAAGACACTAAACTTGATACTGATTTTTTAAAAGTTGTTTGTTTTTAATTAACCTTGGCTCCATGCATTTAGAAATTGCAGCCATCAAGATCTTACTTCCTACTTTAATTCAAAAGAAACATATACATAATGGTACTTTTTTACATAATATATGGATATACACAGACATAACATACGGATGTAAACTGAAGTGGTAAGAATACAGTTTGCTTTACAATCTTCCTCTATGAGTAAAATAGTTTCGTTTACATTGCCATTGTAATTGTTCTCCTAAAATACTGATTCACAGCAATCAGACAAAAATAGACGAAAAAATTCCTCATGAGGAAGACTGTGATAAGAGGTTGTTCAATCTCCACCCTTGGATACATTAATTTGAAATTCAAATTAATGGCAATGAACAACCTCATCTACCTTTAACTACTTAAACAGTGGTTTGGAGCAGGTGAGCTCAAAAGATGCCAACCAATCTAAATTATTCTATTACATACTCTTCTACAAATATACGTATTATTTGCAAAATTGTTCTCCAAACTGCATAAAAGGCTACAGCTATTTTCACTTTAAAATAATGCTTAGCATCCAGGGGAACCATATCAAGGTTTTGGCCCTCAAAACCCTACACCATCACATCTATTATCTAAATCATAAATACAAAGAAAAGTAGCATGACATGAACACAAACTTGAAAAGTCTGTCAATTTTGAATTCTCTTTCAGCAAAATTGTTAAAGCAAAATTTAACATTTTTTTTTCCCCTCTCTGCATGTGCAACTACTTTTATTTACTTAAACTTGTAAATGTAGTGAATGGCTTTGGACATGCTACAGATTATTTGGACAAAGCTAGAGAAATGTTGAAGTAACATCACTCACCTGCTCCCACAGCAAGGGGTTCCTTTCCCTGTCAACTCTGTCTACAGTCTCTAACATTTCATTGTTAGTGACAGCTAGTAAAGGGTTTGGCTTAGAATTTTTTCAACACAGCCTAAATTGAACAACAGGACCTTCAAGACACTGTGATCTGTTATACCCTTTTGCTCTGAGGAACTTATGCTGGTTCGTAATTCAAATCTGGACACCATTCTAAACTTTTATGGCAAAGATGTGGACTTAAGTAAGAGTGTTAATTTGTTTGCTAGGTATTTTCAATAAGTGATTTCTAATTGTTAAGGATATTGTCATTTACAAACCTTATATATAAAGTAACAGGTAATGAAAACTATAACATGTAACTTACCACCATATGAAATTTTGTAATAGGCATAAGCTGTTAATGCTACACCAACCCATATTTCTTGATATACCGTAGTAAAGTAGAATTTCATGCTTTTCAATGACTTTGGAATCATGTTCTGCATCATCTGAAAATTGTAAGAGTTTTGCCATGGTGAGTTTTGCAACTGGCCTCTTACCTGCTGTACTTCTAATGTATATACACACTCCTGATACATATCAGCAGCAGTTTACATGTTTAAAAAAAAAATTTAAAAAATCCCCAAACATGCAGAAGTACTTACTCCAAAGCACAGCAGTAAAAATTCAGAGTTAATGTCACAACTTATGAGCTAAGACAATAAAAAATATTAAACTACAGCTGATAAAAGGAGGCAAGGGTAGCCAGTGTCAACACAACTGGGAAATATATGTGCTTGTTAAAGCATTAAAGCACCTTCATGGTAATCAATGCATAATTATAGAAACCCCCCATTTATTGTGTTTGGATTTAAATTCTATCAAATTTATTATTATGGACAGATTTCGTGAAACAGTATTGTGCTTTCACCAATACTATAAAGAACACTGCACCTCCCCAGAGCTTCCAATACTTGTAGTTTCAGATTACCAGGGCCAGAGCAGCAGTCATTCTGCTAAAAATAAGGAACTTGAATAAAAAGGGTCTTCCTACCACTACAAAACACCAAGTAAGTGCTATTTCCCAGGAACACCCTGTTAAAACCTGGCAGAAACCTGTCCCCAAGACATGGATGGGCGCAATGCCGTCCAGGCCTGTTTTCAAATCTACCCGGGCTAACGCTGAATTTGCTTTCTCACTGACCTACCACCATAACCCCAGCGCAGCCCAGGGGACTCGCTGCCCGACCGTGGCCTGACCCCCAGGCCCATGGAGAGGGGAGGGAGTAACGGCAGGGCTCGAGCTCCGCTGATCTCTCCTCCCCCCGTATCTCCTTTCCCAGGCTGACCCACAACCACCTCCCCGAGACAACCACCGCGATGCCCGCTTGCAGCGGGCCAGCCGACACGCACCGTTACAGCGGGAAGCGACCCAGCTGCCAGAGAAGGTCACCGAGCACACACCGCCTCCCCTACCGCCGCGGGGGATGCTGGGAAAGGACGCATCACCCAGCAAAGCCGTTGGAACGCGACAGGCGCCGCTGCCGCGGAGCGCCCCCTACCGCTGCGGAGGACGAGAGCGGCCTCGATATCCCGGCTTCTACCTGCATGCGCCCGCACCTCACGCTCCTCAACATCGAAGTCCTGCCACGTCCCCGCGCCCCTTCAACCGCTCCAGGTCCTTGCACAGCCCTCAAAGAGCTCATATCGCTGTACAGACCCGTGCGCAGTCTCATAGTCCTTTCTTAGCGCCTTACTCCCGCCCCCCGCGAAAGGAACGCACTAGGAGCCCCATGCAAGGACGACACTGGGATTGGCTTGAACCGAGTCTTCGTGTAGCGTGTCACTTAGAGAATGCTTCTCTTGGAGGACCGAGAAGCACCCGCCGGGTCAGGTTTAGAAGGGCTGAGACATCTACGTGCCTGTGAACCACTTCCTCCAGGCGACGAACAGTACACAGCGACTGGGGTTCCACAGCACCTCACGGCCACTGTTCCGTGGGTGTGAGCGGGAAACTGACCACCCACCGACTCGCGTGGCTGGGAAAGGCGAGAGTCCCTTACCAGCGCAGGAATGAACCTGCGAACACGCTCCACCCTCTACTCTCCCCCTCTTCCCTCCCCTCAGCCTTCCTACAGCAGCGGAACCGGCCCTTTCAGTCACGGGGCGGGGTCTGGCTGAGGGCGGGAAAGAGAGTCGGCGTGAGGTGTGGAAGAGTAGTGTGTGTTGTCGCCATGTTGCGTAAACTGACCGAGGAGCAGATTAACGACTGGTTCGCCATAGGCAAAACTGTGACTGACGTCGAGTTATTGGGCGGCACACTGCCCAGTCACTCCCGTGCCCCTCTTGCTATGCAGGAGCCATTAGCAGCTGTAGGGTAAGTGTGGGGTACTGGGCTGCTGATTTTAGCAGCCAGCAGGTGCTCCTTATGCCTAAAATGAAGGGTTGTCTGTGAAGGCACATGTGGCCTCCCTTTCCTGGAGAGTCTGTTTGTGGGCCTCGGTGGGCAGGGTGTTTTTCCATGGTCTGGACTGGCTCCTGTGCTTCACCCACCCCGTGTGGGCCTGGATGGTGGGTTGCGTATTCCAGCTTAGCACCCTCAGTAATGTTTGTGGCTGTTAAATAAAGCCAGTAATATTTCTGTAATACTTAGGGTTTGACAAGAGGTTCTTGAACCCAACTGAACTCTTAAGCCATTAAAATCTACTAAGTAACATAGGAGAAATTAGTATGATTGATCGAGCCTTATCTGCCTAGGCAGAAGCAAATCTTTTGTCTTTGATAAGACATATAGCTTTTTTTCACTCAAAAGCCTGAACAGATAACACAACTGCCAGGCCCCACAGGCAGGTTAACAGAATTTACTTTCACAGGTTGTTTTTTTTCTGTTTTTCTTTCCCATCTGTAGAACAGAGAGAGGGGTTATGCACCCTAAATAGCCATTTCTGTATGTGTGGACAGAATTTCTCATCATTAGACACGTATAAAAGCTTTGAGCATAGATGGTAGGTGCATGTGTGTTCTGCTGCATACTGAAAAGGAAAAGGTGTGTTTCCATAGCTATGTTTTGTTTCACAGTTCTGGAAATGTGCTTATGTTTAGGGAGGTTTTGCAAAACTTCAATATTGGAAAGGTTTAGGTTCCATCAGAAGATGTTTCAGTTTTATTCACTGGTTTCTTAAGAAAAAGTTTGAAGAGCTGAAAACAAAAGAGTTTCTCTCTTCCTGAGGCTGCTTGTAGCACAGTAGTCTATTTTATTATTTTCTTCCAAAATCTTGGTTTGTTTTGTGGGAAAATCAAAAATTACGTCAAATTTTTTAAATGCTTATTTATATTTACTTCAAGCAGGATATGCTATTAGTGATGGAGATGGCTTTCCTACTTCTTCCATCTAAGTTTATATGTAAGAATATGTAAGATTAATACCAAATTTGTAATGATAATAACAGGTGTGTTACTGCACACAAATGGGTGTAATAACTAATATTTTACAGAGTTGTTACTGAGACGGTCTAATGGGATCTGAAAGCCTCACGTCTCCCTTAAAAAGACTTGTAGAAGGTGTTTTCTTCCTCTGCCAATGATGCCTCGTTTTTCAAGGCTTTTAAGATTATCTTGTTAACTATCTCTAGTGTAGCAGTATTAGTAATTGAGCATTTTAGGGAAAGATAATAGGTCTCAGAAATTGTGGTTGGAGTTTTGATGCTTAAATAGCTGGTTGACGAACTTTTTATGAATATGTTTAACTCCTATGAATATGTTTAACTGAATGGAAGGTAATTTAGACCCTTAAATCCTTCCTTGTTATCAAAACAATTGTGGCTCACATTAAAACCCTTAAAGGCTTAAGTGTAGAAAAAATGGTTATTCTTTCTTTGATTTCTTGCATTTCATAGGTGTAACTTTCACCAGGTTAGCCCTTTTTTATAGCCACCTTATTTGGCTGAAAACATTGCATGCTGTTTGTTTTGCCCATTGACATCGTTATCACTCACCTTTATGTAACCTGAGTAGTGTGTGTTGGCTGCCTGCCCATTTCAGAAATGCCAGTTGGGAGAGTTTAAGGAACAAAATAGTTTCAGATCAGCTCATGAAAATCCTGTGAGTCATAAATAAAAAGTGATTAAAGAAACAGTTCTCAGCCAGTTATCTTCAGAGAAATGATGATTGACCTACAGCCATCTTACTGCTCCCTGACCTAAAGGTAAACTGAATTCCAGAAAATAGCTCATCTTGGCTAGCAGACTGAGGTGCAGATTCACTTTACAGCATTCTGCAGTAAACCTGGCAGATATCTTTAAAATACATTTGACTTTATTTAGCTTGTCTTCATGCTCTTATACCTTTGCTTTTTCTATGCTTCTCTCCACTTTTTATCTGGAGAGAATATTTCCATCAGATTAAAGTGTTCATATTCTGTGTAGTTACCTCTTATTTCTGTATTTGAAAAAAATGGACAAAGTGAGATCTTAGTGGCTGGCATTTTCCCATCCTCTGGATAAATTTATTAACTGTACCTTCTCCAATTCCCAGTTTGGTTTCTCATTTCCTCCCAAGTGTGGACACTAGAACCGGATGCAGTAGCCTAGTATCAGTTTCATCAATAGAACATGTGTATGAAAGTAGGTAAGCATTTTTGTGTGTTTCCTTAGCATTTCATTGGGATTTAACACTAAATTGGGTCTGATGCCTACATACATTTAATTATTATCTAGTGTCTGCCTTTTAGCATATGGTGTAGTATGATGGTCCTTGTGGACTTAGAAGACTGTATTTGCTTATATTAAAGTGAAATTTATGAAGATTGGGTCAGCTGTGTCTGGGTGTTATGAAGATTGGGTCAGCTGGGTGGTTTCATTTTTGTTGTGTGGTTTTGGTTTTTTTCCCCTACTTGTTTTTGATGATTATAAAGGTAAGTGGACTTTGCATCTTTAGTAGCCTACCATTTTCCTTAAAATAAAATTTGTAACTTAGATTTTTAGGGCTTTTTTTCACCTATTTTCTGTTAGAAAGCTGTGAGGGTACCGTTTCAGGAAACAAATTTACATGAATTGCCATTACAGGAATCTTGCACCTTTGACCAAATAAAAGTTATCTTCTGAAACCAGTATTATGGTTACCTTCTTTACTATGGGAAATGTACTTAAGTTTAATTTTCTGGGGAGTTTTATGACTAAGGAGAAACCTTTCTTTCAAACCGTTCCTGCCCTCATGCAGGGACTCATGTCTGGATTGTTTAGAACTGCATGAGAAGAATCTGAAGCCCTTTATTTCTGCATCATAAGGCAGAGTAAGTTGAGATCAATGCTTTTGCTATTTATCAATAAACTGGTCACTACACCAAAGGAGGGTGAAGAGTTTGTACCAGCTCTGAGTGCAGATATAATGAGTGAAGCTTTGTGTGTTTAATTTATGGAAAGTTCAATACTTTTGGTATTGAGCTGCAATTTTTTATTATTCTAAATTTGTCAGAACTGATTTAGTCTAGTTCTCTAGTGCTTTGTACCGTAGGTGTATGCAGGAGTTGTGATAGTTTCACCTTCTCTGTATATTATGTTCCTCTCTTACGTATTAAATGTCCTCTAGATTCCAAGCTTTCCAAAGGTGTGGGTTGGTTTGTTTTAATATTTTTATTTCTTCGGAAAATACTCTGCCATTTGTTTCACCCAATTTATGTTGCATTATTAGTAAATTCTCTCTTGGGTGGGGGTACAGCTGTGCAGCACAAGGAAATATCTTCCAGTTGTGTTACCACCTTGAGAGAATCCGCATGTTTTCTTCAGTATGTTTGAATCAGAGGAAGCAATTTTACTGCATGTTTTCAAGAAAGTGTGTTTTGTGAATTTTGCCGTATGAATCTTGCCCATTCTTTATGGTGCTGCAGACAGATTAAAGGGAAATCTGGAGATGAAGAGGTTACATAAGACAAATAAGAATTTTTCTATACAGTGGTAGGAAATGTAGTAAACTGAGTTCTGGCATATGTTTTCATTGATTTTCTGCTCCAGTTCTCTGCTGTGACCGTAACTGCTACATATCAGATCAGTCTTATAAAACTTTATTATGAATCCACAATGATAGGTCATGGCAACTGAAAACCATGAAATTTTGTTAAATTTAAAATGGTCACCTCTTGCTTTGGAATTGATCTGATGATTCTTCTGCTATTCTATAAAAGTACTGATTTGATGAAAACATTGAAATTTAATGCAGACTCTTGACTTTCCGGGTAGCTTCCAATCAGTAAAATGTAGAACTTTCTGAAATTAAAAATTCATTAATTTCTGGAAGAACAGAAAGCTAGTTCTTGAATGCTTTTAAATGTTTGATGTTTTCATTTAGTTGTCTACCGTTACTGTACTTAAGAACATGTGGGGTACAGTTCAGGTTAAAAAAAAATAGAAACACTACATGCAGCATGTTATAATTTCAGACATTGTTTTCATTTTAGAATAGTTCTTGACTTTGAGAAATAACTATTCAGCTCCAAAATGTATTTAACAGTTTATTTGGTATAACTGATACTATATTAAACCATTTATTTTACACAGTATAAGTTCCCATAAAGCCTAAAAGCTGTGTGACAAATACAGAGGTGTTTGCCTAAATCTTTGTGGATTGATGCTAATTCAAAATATGGAAAGCAGTCCTTTCTTGTTTAAATATGTCTAGCTCTATATGGCTAATCTACATTTTTGGTTAAAAGGTGCCTCCAAACACAGTATCTTTAAGGAACCATAAGGATAAAAGGACTTTTGTTTACTGCATACTAGCTCTAATCGAGGATTTTAATTTCTGAACTTGGAAAAAAAGAGGAGCATGGCACATTTCTTATTCCCATGTTTGTGGATGGCAGTCACAAGAAAGCAATGTTGAAGGCTACGTAGCTTTTTTGAAAGACTAACTTAACCTGACGGGTAGTAGTAGGGTAGATTCCAGATTCTATCAGAGAAGGTGGGAAACATGCTTTGTGTATTTTTGTCGACATAACTTGAAACCGTGGGAATTTCATCTTTGTCCGATTTGTTAGAACTGTCTCCACGCAGGCTGAGATGGTCAGAGCAATTTGTATTCCGTGCATCTACCATTTGGTCTTGTTGATTTTCTCTCTCACTGTTGGCAAGAAAATCTTTCAAAACTTGCTTGAATATGTAGACTATTTCCCAGGGTAAAACATCATTTTCTGCCAAAACTTCACGAAATCTAGAAACAAAGAAAAATTGAAATCTAATCATCAGTGCTGAAAATGCTTGTTTCCTCTCTGCTCTTTGGGGGCAGGGGAAAGGAGGAGGAAGTGACTGCATTCTGGTGTCATTTATTCCTTGCTGCCACATTTCCCCAGCCCCCACCCCCCAAAAGATTATAAGAGGAAGAAAGCTCTAACAATGTACTGGATGTGTTTCAGCTGTTACGAGGATTGAAAGCTACTGTTATTTGGCATGCTTTATTTTTTTTCTTTAGCCCATCTGTGTAGCTTGATTTAAACTGACTTTGCCCTTAGGTATATCCTGGGCTTTAAAAGGTACATAGCCTTGTTTGCTTGTTTCTGCATGTCCCTAAGAAAATGTTCTTAAAATACAGGCAGAGGTGAATTTTTCTTTGTAAAATGTGGGGGATTTATTTGTTTTTTAAAAAAGTTTTGTGTTTGGTTTTGTGGTTTTTTTTATACTGATTTGCTACTTTGAGACTTATTTACCAGTGAGCCTGTGTTTCTGCATAACAGTGCATTGCATTAGTCCTTTAATTTGATTTTTGGTTTTTGGATTACTATTTAATAAATTATGGGGATAAATAACTGAGAAAAATCTGAAAGTATTGGGAGGTTATGTGTTTAAGCATGTGAGACTTCCCTTGCTTTGTATTGGACCAGGAAAATCCTTATTAAAAACTTCCTTCCGGTACAGCGTATTAAAGATGTAATTTTTAAAACACCTGTGAAAGTGTGTTCCAGTTTCTGGTCATTGTTACTTTGGACGAAAGATCAGAGCCACATATAAGCTTGGATTAAGTAGAAGAAACATTTATAATAGAGTAGTCAAAGTAAAACAATTACCTGCTGAGAACAGCTCCTGTTTGGTAAGGCTGGATTTGTGAGCACAGAACTTCAAGCTGCCGTTGCTCAGTAGCTGGAATTGTTGCTTGAGGGTTTTGATGGTTCTTCAGCCAGTTGTAATCCAAGCCAGTCTTCTGGACTTTTTGTTCCTTTTCAATCTCTTGCACTAGTCTTTCACGCTCTTTCAGGTGCCATTTTAACTCCCTCAGTAGGGTTTTTATAACTACTTCTGATCCAGGATATCTTGTGGGTTTGTAGGAATCATTTTTTGACCATTTCATCCAGCCAAAAAGTGGCATTTTTAAGCTCGGGGGGGGGGAAGTTTATTTCTGTCCAACTTGTTTATACTGGTAGACTTGCTTCTGAGCAACTGAATGTTTAAAGGAAACTTTATTAATAATACTAAAATATTTTGCAGTACAGTATGAGTAGTGATAACAATAATTGCCAAACCATAATTAAATCTGACAAGCCTTTTATAGTATTTTCTGGTTTCTGAGTTAACATAAATATATGAAGTTTACAACATTTAAAGTGCATATCTGTCATCTTGGAAATATTTATTTTTTTTTTTAATCTTGATTTCAAAAAGAAAAAAAAAGTCCAAATCCCACTGAACAAAAAAAAAAACCCAAAACAAAAAAAAACCTCCACAAACCCCCTAAACCAATGAAACAATAACACCCTGTCCCCCAAACCAAAAGTACCCCAACAAAACACAGAACCCCAAACCTCCAAAATTGGGTGTTACGTGTACATTTAAAAAGTGATTAAATAAAGCGCTGGAACTCTGCGTGACCTGCTTTTAAAAGCTCTGTATCACTTTTTATTTTAAATAAATTCTTGTTTATATAGCCTGGAAGCAGAAATCTGGTGGAATAGGCTTTTAAATTACAGTTACAAATCATGCATCCAACGAGCATGCTAGTTGGAACAAATTAACATAAATTACCTTTGCAGTTGTCCGTCAACAGTGTTGTTTCGGGTGAATTTGCTTGAAGATCTCTTACTCTAGCATATCCTCTTTCCAGGGTTTTACTACAGCTGGAAGAAAACAAGGTGGTTTTCTCTTTTCCTTTTTTTTTTTCATTTACCCAAACTGTGCTTAGAAAAATGACTTTCTGTGCTGAATATGACAGTTTAAGTTTTTCTGCTTTTAAGGTTCTTTTTCATCCTCTGTACCAGAGAGAAGTAGTAATCCATTTAACCTAACATGGTCTCTCAAATACTTTCTACAGAGTCCATTAAGATCTCCTACCTTTGAATTGAGTTCTGCCAATGGCAGCAATATAAAAAAGGTGACAATTTCAAATGCTTGTTGCTAAATCCATCTAAAGGTATTCTTGATTGTGAGATGAATAACGATGGTCTGAAGCAACTACAGACAAGCTTCTAGCTAAAGTTAAGGCTGTCGTATGATGTGATGCTTGGCTCTGCATAGCTGTAGGTCACAGTATAGAGCTGTATTTTTATGCCTGTAGAGTGCTAAAAATAACTGTGTTGCGTTTATCATCAAACTATACTTTCGGGCCATTGAGATGCTGGAAGACTTATCTCCCATTAGAGGGACTGTTCTGCTGTCCCTTTTAAACAGCTGAGAATAGCTTTTCTGTAGTAAAGATCATCTAAAGCCTTTGTTAAGTAAGTGTTGACAGAAAAGAGCTATTTGACAGTTGCTCAGGATTTTGTTGCTATATTAAATACTTCTTCCAGATGAATTTCATCAGTCTCATGGTACTACACTTTTTTATTAATGCATAGCTGTTAGCATTTTTAGTTAACATTTCGGATGTGTTTAAAGAAGCCAGGCTGTAACACCTACAGTGTGCCATGCAAGACACATGAATCTAATTAAAGGAACAGAATTACAAAGAAAAGTGAATTAAGGTCAAACTGATCCCAGAATTGTAAGTCTTACCATGGACATTGCTTCTTCTCAACTGGCTGTCAGTTTCCTGCTCCCTCTTTCCTTGGTGAGTTTTTTGAGTATATCCATTTTCAAGATTCATTTCTTGGGATGGCATTGTGCGCACTAAAGGTCGCTGAAGCAGCCATTTTCCATTCCAGTAATCTGGTCTCTTCCTATTAATCTAAACAGTAGTCATGGTCTGCAAAATGCCTTCTCTTCTGTTCGTTCTTGTTCTAATGACTGTCTTTGCTCCTGTAAGTATTTTTCATTCCTACTTTTTTGCCTCCGTTGGTGTGTTGAACTGTTGGGAGAGCAAGGGTTCTGTAAATTTGTTCTAGATGTCATACAACATAAAGGATGATGTGTATGGCTGTTATTAAAGTTGATACTGCTTATACATTGGAAAAACTCAAATGTCAGTATTAATCCTCTTCAACTGGAAGGTTTTCACATTGCATTCTGTGTGGTACTATGAAAAGGAAGGGAGCTAGGTTTATGATGACAGAACTGTCCTAGCAGATTTTCAGATGAAAGTAAAGTGCTCCTTGCCACCTCCTTTGCAGCACAGCTAACATGTCTCCGCTTTTTTCTCCACTATCAAATCTGAAAGAAAACCGCTGTACAGTGTAAAACCATTGTAGTGTCTTTGCAAATTAGAGCTGCATGCTGGAAGGTGTGCAAATTAATTGAGAAACCTACTCCAATTGGTTTTATGGTTTGTTGGGGGAGGGGGAGAGGGAGAGGGTTTGTTTTTTTTACCTAATTGTTCATTGTATCCTCAAACTTTGTGACTGGATACTGACAGTGATGTTTATCTTTACATTGGTAGGAGAGCAGTAAAGCTGAAAATCTGTAGTGCTTCTACTTCTGTATGCATTTCAGATCTGTGTTCAGGAAGAGATGACTGCTTATGTGAGGCAGGCATTAGGAACTGGAACTTAAAAGCAGAGCAGTATTTTTTGGAGTTGTTAGCCAGTAGCTAATCCTGAAAGCTTTGTGGAAAGTTACAGTTCCATCCAACTATCCCTAAATGTACTCATGGTTTTGCAATGCTGTGTCAGGATAGAAGTTCTGGCTCACTTTTGACTGGGTCTGTTCTCTGAGGGCATTGCTCATTACTGAGTTTCTCTTTATTAGTAGCTAGTTATAATTTGACCTGGGGGAGGGAGAAAAGGCTATATTTTAATTCTTCTCAGCGTTTTGTGGGCAATTTCTGAAATTGCAATAATAAAATGACAAATGGTATGAAGTCTTTTACTACTTGTCTTTACGTTTCTAGTTTTTTTTTTTTTAATGTTCTTTGACTCTTCATTGTTGGGGAATGACATTTTAGTCTCCTTACCATTCATCTAGCAATCTTGTGCTCTCCTTCAGTCTGTAAATTTAGATAACTTGGAGATGACATGGTTTTAAAGCTATTTGTGGTCTTAAGCTTCTGAATCCCTCTTGTCTTTGGCATTTTGTGACATTACTTACTTCTGTAAATTTTCTAAAAGTTTCAGTCCTAGAACTTCTTTCTTACTTACCAAACCAATATCTCTATAGTTTCAGTTTCCCTCTTCTGAACTGTTCTTTGCTGCTGTTAGTGACTAAAACACACTGTAATGCTTGAGTAAGACTAGTTATATAATGAATAATTTTTGTCTTTTTTTAGTAAGCCATATTGTACTCTGCCACTGCAGCAGAGCAGTTGTTTGTGAAGTGGTTTGGTGTTTTGTTTTTTTTTTTCCTGTAAATTAACCCCAGCGGTCTGTCTGCCTAATTAAATGTTAAGTGAAGATTCTTTGAACTTTTTTAAACTTTCTTTCCACCTCTTTTTACTTTGTTTTCCTAATTTTGGCGCAAGGAATTTAATGAATTCCTAAAGCATTTGTTGCTTCTGTAACTTAATCGTCTTTGAACTGCAGTGAGCAATATCTACTCTTATGTAGGTAAATGAGAATGGGTGTCTTTTCATATAAGTGTTTCTTGTCTTTTTCTTAAGATAGCTGTTCCTTTTTCTGTAGCTTATTTTAGGCTTGTTACCTGATGCTGTTCTCAAATTGAACTGAGGGAACAGCAAGGGTTGCTAGAGCCAAAGTGGAGATTTCCTTTCATAAATCAGTTCAGACGGTTTTAGTGGTCTTTCCTTTCTTGTTATGGCAGCTCTGGGTTCCTCAGCAAAGTCTTATTTCAAAACAATAGCCTTACAGGAGCACATGCTAATTGAAAATTGATTGGGGAAATAAGGGTGGCAGCCAGTGAATAAAATAGGATCTTTTTCCTTGCATCCCTGTGTAAGACTGGTTATTTATTTATATTTTATAATGGCTATGTACAGAGCACTTTAAAACCTTGGTTTTACCTTATTTTTATCCTGTGGACTTCATGGTACTACATGGAGAAGCTCTGATTGTGCGGCCATGAAGCTAGATGTATTGACTTGTGTCTTCTGTGCCGTCAGAGCGTATGAAGAATAAATTCACCTTAGGAGTGGTTGAACAGGGCTAGGCAATCTAAAATAGGTTTGTGTGGCAGAACTTGCATAAGGAGGTTGTTAAGCTGTTTTGCATCAGTATAAGTGAGTGAAGACAATGAGAAAATGAACATGAGCCGGCAGTGTGCACTTGCAGCCCAGAAAGCCAACCGTATCCAAGGCTGCATCAAAAGGAGCCTGACCAGCAGGTGGAAGGAGGTGATCCTGCCCCTCTACTCTGCTCTTGTGAGACCTCACCTGGAGTACTGTGTGCAGTTCTGGTGTCCTCAACATAAAAAGGACATGGAACTGTTGGAACAAGTCCGGAGGAGGGCCATGAGGATGATCAGGGGCACCTCCCATATGAGGATAGGCTGAGAGAGTTGGGGCTGTTCAGCCTGGAGAAGAGAAGGCTGCGTGGAGACCTCATAGCAGCCTTTCAGTATCTTAAGGGGGCCTATAGGGATGCTGGAGAGGGACTCTTCATTATGGACTGTAGTGATAGGGCAAGGGGTAACTGGTTAAAACTTAAACAGGGGAAGTTTAGATTGGATAGAAGGAAGAAGTTCTTTCCTGTTAGGGTGATGAGGCACTGGAATGGGTTGCCGAGGGAAGTTGTTGCCCAAGGAGGTTGTGAATGTTCCATCCCTGGCAGTGTTCAAGGCCAGGCTGGACGAGGCCTTGGGTGAGATGGTTTAGTGTGAGGTGTCCCTGCCCATGGCAGGGAGGTTGGAGCTAGATGATCTTTAGGTCCTTTCCAACCCTAACTATTCTATGATTCTGTGAATCTAAGACATCCATGCATGAAACAGTGGAGCAGTCTAAATGTATCTCTACAATAGTGACTGCTTTGTGGTGAGGATTTCTCATGAGTTATAGTGAATATATTTGTGTTCCCCATGGCTTTTACCTGTGCTTGTTTCATGACATTTGCCTTCCAAATACAGAAGTGAGAAATCATTGAGGTAGTATAACTTACATTCCCATAGTTATGTGGGTACACAAAGTGAGCATAATTTAAATGAAATTGCTCTAGAATAGGTTAATCTGGAAAGATTTGGTAAATGTAGACACATCCTCTAATAAGAAGGTGATACTCATAATGACTGGCTCTATGGATCACCAGTCACTATAGCGAGCATGCCATCATGCATGTGACGGAATGGTCCCTACTGAGGCTTTGTGCTCTCTTTCACCCTTAAATTTGAGGCACCATTCCATTTACTGCTTGATTCATTCTGGTTAGTAGGAGGCTGTTACTAGTATTTACTT